GCAGAGTGCTGTAGCTCCTCTCACAATAAAGACTACAGCATTTTACATTACATAATTTGTAAATAAAGAGAAAAATACAAATTTATTAAATTAGTAAAACAATAGTACAAGTAAAAAGCATATAGCCATTCATACATATATTTCTAGCTTCCTGTCTAATTGGTAACTATGGTCTACTTCAGTAATTTTACACAAGTGTCTTACCAATGTATAAGAACAAAGTGTATGTACAATACTTGCTTACATAAAGTATGTGTAGTATAAAAATTCTTGAAACTATATCTATCAACTCTGGAAATAATTCACAAAATTCTCTGAAATGGCAGGAATTCATAATTAGTACCATAAAACTTTCAAGCACAGTGCCAAAACAACCATACAGTTATTTAATGCTTTAATTTATTAATATTAAAATAACATATTTGGAAGAAGACTCAATCATCATGGGATATTACAAGGAATCTCCACCTTGTTATGATACTGGTACATTTTGTATACTACTAATTAGTGCATGTTTGGTATGATCATATTTTTTTCATTAAAGTAAATCAAGAATGATGGATTGTCTCAATTTTGGGAATGCTAACAATGTACTGAGTGCAAAATTGTTATGTAATGCATAAATGTTTTAAAAGGAGGGGTGTTAATGTTGCAGTTTTATCAACTGTAGTGTAAAGCATCCCTCTGGCAAGACAGTGATGGAGTGAATGATGATGAAAGTTTTTCTTTTTTGGGCCACCCTGCCTTGGTGGGAATCGGCCGATGTGTTAATAATATAATAATAAATGTTTTAAAATAAATGTATACATGTGGTGGAGACACCTTTTTTTTAAGCTGATTAGGAAATTTAATTTTTTTTTTTATTTTTTTAATTCTAAGACTCCAACCTTAAAAAAATATTTACTAAGTACCTCAAGTCCTGGAGTCATACTCTACTGTACTCAAAATTTTATATTTCAGAAAACAGCCATCCTTCTTCATAAAGACCTGAATTACAAATTTTCATAATTAAAATTCAAAATTTTTGAGCTTATTCAGCACTGAAAATTTTGCTTCCTAAATTTTGACTGGGGCAACAAGCCGACAAGCGAGCATAAAGATATTTTGCTCAGGAGAGAGACTGACAAAGCTCAGTCCCAAACAAAATATTATCTAAAATCAAGGCTTGTTCCTTATTGTACCTTTATAAACCCCAATGATTTCCTAACTTTCAGCAAACTTGGAATAAGAAACAGAAATACTGTAACAAAATTTTGTTTTGTCTTGTTGCATTTTAAAAGAAGCCACAAAGGATATAATCTTGGGTTTCAGACTTGCCCCAGTAATAGGTTGTGTTAATACTGTATGACTATATCAACTTATGGATCAATGCTTGATGCTCAAAAACTAAACAGCTCCTGTAAGCTAATTTTCACAATGCTTCAAATATTATTCACAAAGGATTTACTAATATTCTAAAGAACAAATTATACACTGGCACTGTACCACAGTATTATGGAAGCTATAGGAAAAACTGTTAGGCTTTATGAAGACTTGCCTAACAAATAATAATAATAATAATATAATCAGACTTAGCACTAAACCCAAAGTCATTGCCTAACAAATGATATTTCTAGCAAGGTCTAGCTACAGTACATCTATTTCCAGCTATTTTCAGATGAATACTTCTCAAATCTAATGGAAATACTGTATCTAATTTTAATGGACAGACATTTCACATTCCTGCTGATCAATTCACAATGGAATTTTATCTTAATTAAAATTCTAAAAGTTGTCTATAATAAAGTATGGTATCATCTAGAACTATTACTCTGAAGCTCTAAACCTGTGTGGGTTATTCAACACAAGCAGTAGTGGAGGCTCAATCCTCTATCTGCTAAGTGCAAGACACACACACTACCTACCTGTATCTACTTAGCTTTCCTAATAATCAATCACTTGTGTAAGAAGATGCTGCTTCTTAATTCGTTACGTTCCCCAAGGCATTGCTAATATTATTACTGTCCTGCTTAATAACAGTTATTACAAAATTTGAGTACTATTCACAAGCATGTGCCTTCATTTTGGTATGTATATACACATGTAAAGAATAGTGCATCTGATTTAGTTAAAAAATTATGCATATACTGTATAAGTGTTATCATTATATCCATGGAAAGGGTTAAACCAGTGGTGGGCCAATCAGCCCATTGAATGCATGGCTAACATTATAAGTTAAAATGAAAAAAGTATATTAAATTTATACAAAATTAACTAAAAACTAAGTTGTAAAAGTGAACATACACTAAGCCTGGCTCAATTGTTCAATTTTGACACAAACTCTTCAATTAAGACATCATGTATCAAACAAAATGTTTAAAAGGGTAGATGCATGACTAAAATACACTACTATATTGTCAAATAAAACTATACTAAACATGATCATCTACAAATTCAGACAGTATTCATCCTGGAGGAAAGTCGCACAATTATCTGGAATTTGTTAACCACATGTGGAAAAAGATGTTACAAGGTCAAGACAATATATGTATATTAGAAACAAATCTAAGAAATTATGTGCTATTTCAGTAATAGTACAGCCTTTCCTCACTCAGTAACGTACTTGTTTACCAACGACTCGGACTTATGACGGGCTCACTGACCAGTATGCATACCTAAATAATGTATACTAGAGCTGATTTCCTCTATTCTGTTTATTACATTATATAGTACACTACTGTATAAACATTCAAAAATATACTAAAAATGTTATAAATGGTGCAATGGTGACATTAAAACAATATCAAAAATAAATAACAAAAAGGCACAATACCGTGACTGGAACGATACACAAATAACCCGCACATAAAAGAGAGAAGCTTACGACGACGTTTCGGTCCGACTTGGACCATTGACAAAGTCACACAGTGTGACTTTGTCAATGGTCCAAGTCGGACCGAAACGTCGTCGTAAGCTTCTCTCTTTTATGTGCGGGTTATTTGTGAAACAATATCAAAGATGGTTGACACAAACCCACTACCACTATGGTATGCTCCTTGCTTAGCAATGAATTCATTTACCGGTGTGGTCTTAGGAACGGAACTTCATCATTAAGTGAGGAGAGGCTGTAATTGTTAAAAAGTGTTGTAATGGAGCAGTAGGAATGCTTAAGGTTCTCATATAATTATAATCAATCACAAATTCAAGTGTGTCCTCTCATCCTTTCCACAGCAGGCTGAGATACTGTCTCTTTACTGAAAACCAATAACAAATTCAACACATATTTATTGCAAAACATATTTATAGTAAATTTCATAACAATGCATTAGCTCATCTTGTATAATTTGTAATGAATGTAATTTCATCTATAGTACCATGAAAGGTAACATGAACTCATAGCCATGAAATGCTCATTCCTGAATGTTGTTATAACAATCATTACAATAATGTAGTGTTAAAATGTGTAGTGCATGGCCAAACTTTTAAACTGAAACTCAATATATCCAAAAGTGGTAGATATGAGACACTTGGTAAAAATCAATGAAAAGTCTATAAAAAACTTCAAATCAATTCTAGGTAAATAGAAAATGAAGTACAAACATAAAAGGGTAATAAACACTGTTTGAAGGCACAAACATATAGGCTCACTTGTGCCATACTGAGTAAACCTTCACTTTAATAGACTAACAGGGATAAATGGGTGACTGGTAATGGTAGTTGTGTTGGATACATAAGAAATTGTTTTTCTGTAATCATAACAAAATAGACAACACACCATATCTGTTGCTTCCCTATCAGGTGACCTAGTGGATTTTGTCCCATATTTCCGGTCTGTTAAATCAAAGTCCATTAAATCGAGGGTTTACTGTTGAAATATTAATACCAGTCCCACACTGCGAGTGGAATTATCAGTGCAGTATAATTAACCCTTTGACTGTTTCCGACGTATAAATACGTCTTACGAGCCAATGTTTCTGACGTATTTATACGCATAAATTCTAGCAGCTTCAAATCAAGCAGGAGAAAGCTGGTAGGCCCACATGTGAGAGAATGGGTCTCCATGGTCAGTGTGCACCATATAAAAAAAATCAGGGAGCCAGTGGTGCATTGTGGGAATGCCATTTCAGTTGTCATTTTTCAGCATGTCTAGCGGTAAGAAATATGTGATTCCCAGCAAATTGGGACTCTTCTCTTCCCAAGTGATGCCTCTAACACAGATGGAAGTGTCAGTGAAGATCAATTTCATGATTTGGAGGAGTTTGAGACCAAAAGCAATGGAGGAGGAGGAGGGGGAGGAGGGGAGGAAGAGGAGGAGGAGGAGGAGGAGGAGGAGGGGAAAGGAAGGAGGAGGAGGAGGAGGAGGAGGAGGAGGGGGAGAAGAGGAGGAGGAGGAGGAGGGGAAAAAGAAGATGTAATATGTTCCCTTGAAGCAAGAAAAAAAAAAGTCCACCCCCTGACAGTGACAAGATAAGGGGGGATAACATCTGATAAGACTGACTTTGATGAGGTAAAGGAGGGTAATATTACATGACCATTGCCCCCCTTTGTTTTTGCTGGTACACAAACATTTCTGTCTGTCTATTTGTCTGTCTGTCAAACTCCCCGTCTGTCCATCTAGCTCTCTGTCTCAGAGAGAGCCACAAGACTGTGGGCATCACGTTTACTCACATCTTCAAACAGAGTATAGCACTTGTCTGGATTTCTTGGGTTTTCCTAGGTAATTTAACTATGTATACTTGTATTTATGTGTACCTGTGAGACAGAGATAGGCAGACAGATAGAAAGAGAGACAGATTGAAAAAATATAAAATGAGGGAGAAAGATAATTAGATGAATGGAGGAGGGGAAGCAGCATTTCCCACCCCATTGTTTTTTACAGGCGGTAGGGTAGTGACTAATGACACAATATGTCACTTTGACAGCTGCCGACTCCTGACTCAAAACAATTATAAGCCACACACTCGCACACAAGGAGGGGGAGAGGAGGAAGAAGAAGAAGGAGGAAGAAGAAGAAGAGGAGGAAGAAGAAGAGGAGGAGGAAGAAGAAGAGGAGGAGGAAGAGGAGGAGGAAGAGGAGGAGGAAGAGGAGGAGGAAGAGGAGGAGGAAGAGGAGGAGGAAGAGGAGGAGGAAGAGGAGGAGGAAGAGGAGGAGGAGGAGGAGGAAGAGGAGGAGGAAGAGGAGGAGGAAGAGGAGGAAGAAGAGGAGGAGGAAGAGGAGGAGGAAGAGGAGGAGGAAGAGGAGGAGGAAGAGGAGGAGGAAGAGGAAGAGGAGGAAGAGGAAGAGGAAGAGGAAGAGGAAGAAGAAGAAGAATTGTTTGTTTGTTTTTGTAAACAAGTTTTGTAAACAATATATTGATAATTATGTTTGTGTGCTTGTTGTGTTGTATACGAGTGTATATATATACATTGCACCTTACTTTGGTCTCATAGGCCACATAAGTTATGTGAAAAAATAAAATAGTGAAAAAAACAAAAAACCTTCAATTACAAGTAAACTAAAGTTTACCGGGTGAGCGGCAGTCGCCGCTGTTGCCATACGCGGCTCATTTTCTGCAAACTTCATGGCTCTATATCTCGGTAAGTACCGATGGCAAAATTTTTTTTTTGGACTAAAACACTCAGAAAAATAATCTTAACATTTTCATAAGAAAAAATAATTTTTTTTTTTTTTTGAATATTTGGCGACATAGAATGACAGTTTCAGAGAGGGACCTGAAACAGTCAAAGGGTTAATAAGTGAAATTAAAAATATAAAGGATTTATTTGGGATGAAATGTTCATCTTGGGGCTTTTTAAAAATGTCTTTTTATACTGGAGGGCATATATTATGTACTATTATTCACACCTGCCACTCATCCAAAAATAAGGATGATGGAAATAATCAGACGTTCTAGGAATATACAAAAGAAATTTAACTTCTGTCAATTCACACTCCTAATTTTCAAAAACTATGGCAAACAGCTCTATATGATCAAAATACTGCCATGTGACATTAAAAATATTAAAAATTGCTATAACCTAGAGCACAACAACCAGACAAATATAAGCCTTATCAAAATGAAAAATATGGATATTTCATTACCTTCATGCTAAAAGGTGAATCATAATTTTGTCATTTATAAATACGTACACATATCAACAAGCTAAAATATTCCCCTTGAATTAGACTTCATACATAATCTAAATAGGATAGGTTTCATCATTAATATACTTTTGTTAATTTTCAAAATTCAAAGTAAAAATTCAACAATTATCCTACACACCAGAAAAAAAAACTAGACTAAATCAACTGTCTAGCTGAAAAAACAATTAACACCTCTAATTAAGTATGCTCATTCTTCATACTGGCTCACTGGTTGAGAAGTTTGTCTCAAGTAAACTCCCTCTCAATTCAGCCTAGCCCACTTTCAGTACTAGTTTCTTGACAATGGTTTCTGACAACACTCATCTGTATTGCCAGAGGTTCACCAAGTTGGAGTTGCCGTTTCTCTGCAAACTTGAGTAGCTGCTCTATTGTTATGGACCGAATGTCCACCTCTTCCTGCAAACCTTGTCGCTCCTGCAGAAGGCCTACCAGCTCTCCTGAAGCCTCTGAAATCAATATAATGTATAGTACTATACTATATATTACAGTTTTTTTCTTTAGAATGCACACAATTTTATAGATAGCATGTGAAAACTAGATAAAAGTCAATCACAGGAAAGCAACGCATACATCATTTTAAGTTTGGTTGTATCTCTTCTAAGGAAAGAGGCAAATTCATGTAAATATCATGAATTAAGGTCAAAAGTTTTTTTTTTTTTAAATGAACTGGCCATATTCCACCGAGGCAGGGCGACTAAAAAGAAAAATGAAAGTTTTTCCTTTTATATTTAGTAATTTATACAGGAGAAGGGGTTGCTATCTCCTCTCTCTAAAACCAAAGGCCTCATCACTGGGGTGAAGGAGAAAGTTCAAGTAGGACTGGGCACTCAGGCACACCCCTAGTTTCAACCAACAAGTTATTGACATGCCACCAAAACAAAACACAAGGATGACTGACTGATGTAAGAATTAGGCCATCTGAACACCAACTACTTATGCAAATATTTTACAATGGTATTGTAGCTATACTCTCCCAACACCCACAACTACCTCACATGATGTACCAATATAATGTATACTACTGTATATTACTGGACACTGCATTTGAAAGAAAGCAACTACAATCACTGGCAAGAATTGAATTATACGAATCAAAAATAATGCCTCTTGTTGAAATAAAATACAAAGTAAAAATGTTCCATCATAGTTCTGGACATCTTTTTATTAACCCTTCATATTTAATGTAAAATTAAATTTTATTTCCATTACTTACAGGGCATAAATTCAGCTATGGAATTACATCTTTTTTATGCACTCTCAGGAAAATCCTTTGTTATGCACATTTTGGGCAAACTAAAACTAATACTGTACTGTACTTATAAATAATACTTATTACTAGTTCAGCTATTTAGATAGGGAATACAGTGGAACCTCGTTTTTTGTTTGCCCTGGTTTTTGTCGAATTCGGTTTTCAACGACTTTTTTCGTCAAAATTTTGCCCCAGTTTTTGATCATCACCTCGGTTTTTGTCACGCTGACAGTGGTCTGCCATACCGAATGTGTCCGCCCACACCCACACAAAACATCCCACGTGTTCTGAGTCAGTCTGGCTTTTTTCTCATTGAGTGAGCATTACCCAGCGTGCTCATCTGAAACATTTTGTAATAATCCATTTTTTTTGTGCTTCTTTATTGAGTGTGACTGCTAAATGAGCAGCCAAGGGGCCAAAGAAAGTTCCTAGTGCCAGCCCTTTGATAAAGAAGGGGAGAAACACGATAGAATTCAAGAAAGAACTCGTAGCAAAGTACGAAAGTGGAATGAGTTGCAAAGTTTTGTGGAGAAATATCACTACCACCCTCTACAAAGGTAGAGGATGGTAGTGATGGTGGAAGAGGGTGGTAATGATGGTGGTAGAGGGTGGTAGTGATGGTGGTAGAGGGTGGTAGTGATGGTGGTAGAGGGTGGTAGTGATGGTGGTAGAAATAACCTCTCCTCCCTCTTCCCTCCTCGCCATCTTCCATACGCCAACAAGTCTTCAATAAAGGTAAAAGTAACGTTAAATGCTCATTTATCCATTTCATTAGTCCTTTATATTTATTTCTTGCTGTTTTCTGTATGTAAAACTAGTTATTCTCTATAAAATGTATTTTTTGTTAATACTTTTGGGTATCTGGAACAGATTAATTGGATTTACATTATGTATTTATGGGAAATATTACTAAAAAAGAGAAGAAGAAAAACTTTATAAAACTGGGTTGCTTAAATGTGCGTGGATGTAGTGCGGATGACAAGAAACAGATGATTGCTGATGTTATGAATGAAAAGAAGTTGGATGTCCTGGCCCTAAGCGAAACAAAGCTGAAGGGGGTAGGAGAGTTTCAGTGGGGGGAAATAAATGGGATTAAATCTGGAGTATCTGAGAGAGTTAGAGCAAAGGAAGGGGTAGCAGTAATGTTAAATGATCAGTTATGGAAGGAGAAAAGAGAATATGAATGTGTAAATTCAAGAATTATGTGGATTAAAGTAAAGGTTGGATGCGAGAAGTGGGTCATAATAAGCGTGTATGCACCTGGAGAAGAGAGGAATGCAGAGGAGAGAGAGAGATTTTGGGAGATGTTAAGTGAATGTATAGGAGCCTTTGAACCAAGTGAGAGAGTAATTGTGGTAGGGGACTTGAATGCTAAAGTAGGAGAAACTTTTAGAGAGGGTGTGGTAGGTAAGTTTGGGGTGCCAGGTGTAAATGATAATGGGAGCCCTTTGATTGAACTTTGTATAGAAAGGGGTTTAGTTATAGGTAATACATATTTTAAGAAAAAGAGGATAAATAAGTATACACGATATGATGTAGGGCGAAATGACAGTAGTTTGTAGGATTATGTATTGGTAGATAAAAGACTGTTGAGTAGACTTCAGGATGTACATGTTTATAGAGGGGCCACAGATATATCAGATCACTTTCTAGTTGTAGCTACACTGAGAGTAAAAGGTAGATGGGATACAAGGAGAATAGAAGCATCAGGGAAGAGAGAGGCGAAGGTTTATAAACTAAAAGAGGAGGCAGTTAGGGTAAGATATAAACAGCTATTGGAGGATAGATGGGCTAATGAGAGCATAGGCAATGGGGTCGAAGAGGTATGGGGTAGGTTTAAAAATGTAGTGTTAGAGTGTTCAGCAGAAGTTTGTGGTTACAGGAAAGTGGGTGCAGGAGGGAAGAGGAGCGATTGGTGGAATGATGATGTAAAGAGAGTAGTAAGGGAGAAAAAGTTAGCATATGAGAAGTTTTTACAAAGTAGAAGTGATGCAAGGAGGGAAGAGTATATGGAGAAAAAGAGAGAAGTTAAGAGAGTGGTGAAGCAATGTAAAAAGAGAGCAAATGAGAGAGTGGGTGAGATGTTATCAACAAATTTTGTTGAAAATAAGAAAAAGTTTTGGAGTGAGATTAACAAGTTAAGAAAGCCTAGAGAACAAATGGATTTGTCAGTTAAAAATAGGAGAGGAGAGTTATTAAATGGAGAGTTAGAGGTATTGGGAAGATGGAAGGAATATTTTGAGGAATTGTTAAATGTTGATGAAGATAGGGAAGCTGTGATTTCGTGTATAGGGCAAGGAGGAATAACATCTTGTAGGAGTGAGGAAGAGCCAGTTGTGAGTGTGGGGGAAGTTCGTGAGGCAGTAGGTAAAATGAAAGGGGGTAAGGCAGCCGGGATTGATGGGATAAAGATAGAAATGTTAAAAGCAGGTGGGGATATAGTTTTGGAGTGGTTGGTGCAATTATTTAATAAATGTATGGAAGAGGGTAAGGTACCTAGGGATTGGCAGAGAGCATGCATAGTTCCTTTGTATAAAGGCAAAGGGGATAAAAGAGAGTGCAAAAATTATAGGGGGATAAGTCTGTTGAGTGTACCTGGTAAAGTGTATGGTAGAGTTATAATTGAAAGAATTAAGAGTAAGACGGAGAATAGGATAGCAGATGAACAAGGAGGCTTTAGGAAAGGTAGGGGGTGTGTGGACCAGGTGTTTACAGTGAAACATATAAGTGAACAGTATTTAGATAAGGCTAAAGAGGTCTTTGTGGCATTTATGGATTTGGAAAAGGCGTATGACAGGGTGGATAGGGGGGCAATGTGGCAGATGTTGCAAGTGTATGGTGTAGGAGGTAGGTTACTGAAAGCAGTGAAGAGTTTTTACGAGGATAGTGAGGCTCAAGTTAGAGTATGTAGGAAAGAGGGAAATTTTTTCCCAGTAAAAGTAGGCCTTAGACAAGGATGTGTGATGTCACCGTGGTTGTTTAATATATTTATAGATGGGGTTGTAAGAGAAGTAAATGCGAGGGTCTTGGCAAGAGGCGTGGAGTTAAAAGATAAAGAATCACACACAAAGTGGGAGTTGTCACAGCTGCTCTTTGCTGATGACACTGTGCTCTTGGGAGATTCTGAAGAGAAGTTGCAGAGATTGGTGGATGAATTTGGTAGGGTGTGCAAAAGAAGAAAATTAAAGGTGAATACAGGAAAGAGTAAGGTTATGAGGATAACAAAAAGATTAGGTGATGAAAGATTAAATATCAGATTGGAGGGAGAGAGTATGGAGGAGGTGAACGTATTCAGATATTTGGGAGTGGACGTGTCAGCGGATGGGTCTATGAAAGATGAGGTGAATCATAGAATTGATGAGGGAAAAAGAGTGAGTGGTGCACTTAGGAGTCTGTGGAGACAAAGAACTTTGTCCTTGGAGGCAAAGAGGGGAATGTATGAGAGTATAGTTTTACCAACGCTCTTATATGGGTGTGAAGCGTGGGTGATGAATGTTGCAGCGAGGAGAAGGCTGGAGGCAGTGGAGATGTCATGTCTGAGGGCAATGTGTGGTGTGAATATAATGCAGAGAATTCGTAGTTTTGAAGTTAGGAGGAGGTGCGGGATTACCAAAACTGTTGTCCAGAGGGCTGAGGAAAGGTTGTTGAGGTGGTTCGGACATGTAGAGAGAATGGAGCGAAACAGAATGACTTCAAGAGTGTATCAGTCTGTAGTGGAAGGAAGGCGGGGTAGGGGTCGGCCTAGGAAGGGTTGGAGGGAGGGGGTAAAGGAGGTTTTGTGTGCGAGGGGCTTGGACTTCCAGCAGGCATGCGTGAGCGTGTTTGATAGGAGCGAATGGAGACAAATGGTTTTTAATACTTGACGTGCTGTTGGAGTGTGAGCAAAGTAACATTTATGAAGGGATTCAGGGAAACCGGCAGGCCGGACTTGAGTCCTGGAGATGGGAAGTACAGTGCCTGCACTCTGAAGGAGGGGTGTTAATGTTGCAGTTTAAAAACTGTAGTGTAAAGCACCCTTCTGGCAAGACAGTGATGGAGTGAATGATGGTGAAAGTTTTTCTTTTTCGGGCCACCCTGCCTTGGTGGGAATCGGCCGGTGTGATAATAAAAAAATAAAAATTGCTTCAGTTTTTGTCGAATTCGGTTTTCATCAGACTTTCTGGAATGAATTAACCCTTTCAGGGTCGACAGGCTCTCTCCCAGACCTCTTCTCAGGGTCGCCAAATTTTCAAAAAAAAAAAAAAAATTATTTTTTCTTATGAAAAGATAGAGAATCTTTTCCCAATCATAATGACACCAAAAGTATGAAATTTTATGGAAAACTTATGGAATTATGCTCTCGCGAAGTTAGCGGTCTCGACTCTGTTTATGCATCGGTGATTTTGCCCAATTTGAGCCCTATTTTCGGCCAATTCCAGTGTACTAGTTGACAAAAATCATAACTACGTATTTCGCTAGAACTCCATTTTTTCTATCGAATGAGTACATTTACCGATTTCAACTATCCAATAAAGTTTCCAGAATTTAGCAATTTTGCCAATTTCACACAAATTTCAAAAGATGCCAATTTCCAAATAGGGTCCAGAATAAACAAGAAAGACATTCCTGGCACTAAAATAACATTTCCTCTGTTCATTAGTCACGTCCCCATGCCCCTCTTACATTCTTTTGCTTTCCACTTTGAATTTTTATTCTTACAAAAAATAGAAGATTTACTGTTATGCAGACTACTGCATTAGTGTAGAAATGGTATAAATAATGTCAGCGCACTTGTGAAAGAATATTAGACTCACCAATTGACGTGTATTGGACGCGTAGCATTTTTCTCATTACACACTGTGTGCTGCAGGATTTTTTTTATACTGAGCACACTGACCACACAGACCCATTCTTTCATATGTAGGCCTACCAGCTTTCTCTCACTAGATTTGAGGGTGCTAGAATTTAGGCGTACTAGTAAGTCAAAAACCCTGGTGCGTAAGCCGTACTAGTACGCCAGAAACCCTGAAAGGGTTAATGACGAAAATGAGGTTCCACTGTAGTGAACATGTAATGTGAGCATACCAGTGGTTTGGTTTACAATGTAGAGGTAGTAATTGATTAAGTTAACAGATTAAAGAGTACCTGTAGTACAGAGTAAATAGTTTGGTTGTGACACACAGCATATTTTAGAAAGAATGCTCACTACTTTGGAAACTTTATTAGATATGTGCTGGATGGATTGTTAAATTTAAGTTTACTGTCATAGTGAATGCCTAAGAACTTTCTGCTAATCTTGTATTTCAATGTGAACACTATTATTTATCTTCATGTTTTGTTCAATATTTTTAGCTTTATTTCCAAACATTATGTAGAATGTTTTATCAATATTGAGTGTTAATTTATTTGTCACCATCAAGGTTGGCACCTTTTCTTGTTCAATATTAGCAATGATGTTGAAGGGTGGACATGAACCAGTGAAAACAGAGTAGGTGGCAGTGCAATAAAAGGAAGCCCTACAGCACTATACTGTACAGTACAGGTTATCTCACTACTTATTAAGAAATTTTTCAGCACACCAGCTGTGTGGCACCTAGGCAGAGCAACCCAAAGAACAAATACATTGCCAGAAGTGTGCAGACATCACAAATAAAAAAAAACACTATTATATGCAGATTGGTAATAGTCAAGGAGAATAATATGAAAGGAAATATCATATTATTCAAAAAGGTTCTAAAAAAAACAAACTCATATACAATATAATACAGAATAATGAAATAAAGATTAGATTGAAGTGTGAGCAGGGTATATTTTGTGAAGGAATTCAGGGAAACCGATTAGCCGAACTTGAGTCCTGGAGGTGGGAAGTACAATGCCTGCACTTTAACCCCTTGAGGGTCTGTGCTATACTTCTATGGCTTTGAAGCCAGGGTCAGTGCCATTGTACTACGTCATGAGCTAAGCTCACTCAGATAAGCTGTAAGCAGTAAATTTGGGCCTAGTTATGAAAAAATGGGTCTATGTGGTAAGTGTGCACCATACAAAAAAAAATCCTGCAGCACACAGTGCATAATAAGAAAAAAAACTGTAACTGTGTTTTGGGATTAAAACAGCAACTTTGTGGTGTATTTTCTTATGGTTTTTATGCTTGTATTCACAGTTTCTTAGTCTCATTTGATATAATGGTAGACATATTACAGAAATAGAGATGATTTTGATTGGTTTTAGGAATGAAAATAGCTTGAAACTGAGCTCAAATTAGAGGAAATGTTCAATTTTTTTTCAGATTTTCAAGAGTAAACAAATCACATCACACATCCAATACATGTCAACTGGTGGGTCTAATATGTGTTCAGGAATGCACTGATATTATTTATACAATTACTGCAATATTGCATAACAGTAACTTCCATTTTTTGGTGTGACTAAAAATTCTTCGTGAAAAAAAAAATCAAAATGGAATTCATTTGTAAAGCCTGAAAACATAACTAATGAACAGAGGAAATGTTATTTTAGTGCCAGGAATGCCTGCAATGTTTATTCTGGGCCCTTTTTTGAAAATGAAGTACTGTACAGTGGACCCCCGCATAACGATCACCTCCGAATGCGACCAATTATGTAAGTGTATTTATGTAAGTGCGTTTGTACGTGTATGTTTGGGGGTCTGAAATGGACTAATCTACTTCACAATATTCCTTATGGGAACAAATTCGGTCAGTACTGGCACCTGAACATACTTCTGGAGTGAAAAAATATCGTTAACCGGGGGTCCACTGTATTTTGAAATTTGTGGAAAATTGGCCAAATTACCAATTTCTGATCACTTTACTGGGTAGTTTGAAATAGTTGACTGGGCGGTTTCTTGTACTCAATCAATAAAACAGAAGGCATAATAGTGCAATAGCTAAAAATTTGGTCAACAGGAACAATGTACTTGACCTAAAATACAAGTCAAATTGGGCAAAATCGCCAGTGCATAAATATCGCTCAACAGAATTCGCAAAGGTGTAAGTTCATCAATTTTCCATCAAATTTCATACTTTTTGTTTCATTACCTTCAGAAAAAGATTACCATTTCATAAGAAAAATATTTTTTTTTTTTTTTTAATTCTTAAACCCTGTGGACACTTTTTTGGGGTCTGGACCCTCAAGGGGTTAAAGGAGGGGTGTTTGGAGTGACATCTAAAGCCTCATATCTGAGTGCCTCTGCAAAGGCAGTGATGGTGAAAATGTTAAATGATAAAAATTTTCTTTCTTTCTTTTTGGGTCACCCTGCCTCGATGAGAAACGGCTGATGTGTTAAAAAAAAAATTATTCAAACCTGTGAGGAACATTCAGAAGCACAAGAATAAATGAGACAATGATGGTTTATCCTGCACTTAACACTTCACTTTGGCCCAACAACTTGCTCCACAAAACTGACTGGAGTTTCAAAATAAAACTTACCCTGGACTATAGTTTCTAATTCCTTCTTCAACTGCTCCAGTGTGTGGAGTGAGAGATTAGACACTGAAAGTAAACAAGAACTGATTTTAAGTGCTTGTACAGTACCAGATGACACTTCACAGTAAAATCAAGCTTAGTTTTTACTAATGCTCCTTATTTATCCCCCCAAAAATATGATTGAAATAATGACAATACAGCACTTTAAAAAAAATGAAACAGAACAGTAAGGAAGTATCAGAATGTAGTAGACACTTATCGATGAATTATGGAAACCCACATGGAGACACACACAGTGTAGAAAGAGAATGTATATTTTGATATCTGAGATTTTCTTCACTTCTAAAGTTCTGAGACAGTGATTGAAATATAGTCTCTTTCCACACTGTGTTTCTGTCTCCATGTGGGTTTCTTCAATTCAAAAAAACAACTGTTGGACAATGAGACTTCTGTATGAAACTGTACAGGCACAATAGTGGTTTGTAAAATACATGAAAATAATTTACAGCACTACGGCAAAATTAAAAAAAAAAAAAAAAAACTGAAATTGGCCTAGATTTTCTGTTTGCAGACAAATCTAATAAAGGGAAATCTCACAGGATAATATCATTTTGCTAATATAAATAAACTGTTTTGCTTTGGGTTGACTGCATTTGTACTGAATACGTACATTGGATATTTTTGGATATTTTTATGCCTTACTGACATTTTTTACCATATAATATTTTCAGATTAGCTTTTGGTCAGAATATTTTCCATATTCAAATTCAAATTTATATTTACTTTTATGTGGTACAAACATAATGTAGTTTACATGTAATAAAACATTATTAGGAACAGAAGAAAGTCATTAGTATGCAGTGCCTTTCAGGAATGTATAGGAAGTGGGTTGCCATTAGTATAAGGAAGAAAGTAGACATACTGCAGAACAATATGTGCAAAGATATGAGAATTGTCAGAACATCATAAAATAATGCAATACTGATGCATCAACTGTGTATGATTTACAATTTTGAGCATACATACAGAGGTACAAAAAATACAGATAAGAGCAGCATGCCAAAGCCACTTATACTATGCATAGCAAAAACTCATCCATGAAGACACATCAGAGAAGGCTGAACTATCAAAACAAAATTTCAAAGCCTTACTTTGAAGATTTAGATAAAAAATTTTTGGAGTAGTTTAGCCTTTTACCCCTTTCAGGGTTCCCAGGCCCTCTCCCAAACTTGTTCTCAGGGTCGGCCACATTTCAAAAAAAAAAAAAAAAAAAAAAAAAAAAATTCTTATAAAAATATAGTGAATCTTTTTCTGATCATAATGACACTAAAAGTATGAAATTTGATTGAAAACTTATGGAATTATGCTCTTGTGAATTTAGCAGTCTCGACGATGTTTACGCATTGGCAATTTTGCCCAATTTGAGCCCTATTTTCGGCCAATTCCAGTGTACTAGTCAATAAAAATCATAACTATTTCACTAGAACTCCATTTTTTCTATCAAATGAGTACAAGAAACCACCCATTTACCGATTTCAACTATCCAATACAGTGGTCAGAATTTAGCAATTTTGCCAATTTCACACAAATTTCAAAAGATGCCCATTTCCAAATAGGGTTCAGAATAAACAAGAAACACATTCCTGGCACTAAAATAAAATTTCCTCTGTTCATTAGTCACGTCCCCACGCCCCTCTTACATTCTTTTGCTTTCCACTTTGAATTTTTATTCTCACAAAAAATAGAAGATTTACTGTTATGCAGACTACTGCATTAGTGTAGAAATGGTATAAATAATATCGGCACACTTGTGAAAGAATATTAGACTCACCAGTTGACGTGTATTGGACGCTTAACATGATTTGTTTACTTTTGAACTTTGGTAAAAATCAAATATTTCTGCTACTTTGAGCTCAATTTCAAGGTACTTTTCATTGTAAAACCAGTCAAAATCATCTCAATTTCTGCAATATGTCTTCCATTCTATAAAATGAGACCAGGAAAACTAGAATACAGTGGACCCCCGCATAACGATGGCATCACATAGCGATTTTTCCCGCATACCGATTACTTTTATCGCAAAATTTTTGCCGTGCATACCGATTAACCCTTTGACTGTTTTCGACGTATAAATACGTCTTACGAGCCAATGTTTCTGACGTATATATACTCAATAATTCTAGCGGCTTCAAATCAAGTGGGAGAAAGCTGGTAGGCCCACATGTGAGAGAATGGGTCTGTGTGATCAGTGTGCACCACATAAAAAAAATCCTGCAGCACACATTGCGTAATGAGAAAAAAAAAACTCTGATCGTTTTTTTGGAATAAAACGCCGACTTTGAGGTGTATTTTCGTATAGTATTTATCATTGTATTCGCGTTTTCTTGGTCTTAGGTGATAAAATGGAAAACATATTACAGAAATAGAGATGATTTTCATTACTTTTACGATGAAAACGACCTTGAAACTGAGCTCAAAGTAGCGGAAATGTTCGATTTTTCCAATGTTCAAGAGTACATAAATCACACCACACGTCCAATACACGTCAACTGGGGAGTCTAATATTCTTTCACTAGTGCACTGATATTATTTATACCATTTTTACAATAATGCAGTCGTCTGCATAACAGTAAATTTTGTATTTTTTTGTATGAATAAAAAATCAAAATAGAAAGCAATAATAATATAAGAGGGGCCTAGAGATGTGACTAATGAACAGAGCATATGTTATTTTAGTGCCACGAATGTCTACCTTGTTTATTCTGGACCCTATTTTGAAATTGGCATCTTTTTTATTTTGCGTGAAATTGGCCAAATTGCCAATTTCTGACCACCATAATGGGTAGTCCAAATTAGTAAATTGGAGGTTTCTTGTACTCAGCTGATAGATAAAATGGAGTTCTAAAGAAATAGCTATGGTTTGGTCAACTGGAACAATGGAATTGGGTGAAAATTGGGCTCAAAGTCGGCGAAATCGCCGATACGCATATGTCGCCGAGACCGCTAACTTCGCGGGAGTATAATTCCACGAGTTTTCGACCAAATTTCGAACTTTTGGTGTCATTACCATCGGGAAAAGATTCTCTATCATTTCATAAGAAAAAATAATTTTTTTTTTTTTCAAAAATTGAGCGACATAGAATGACAGTTTCAGAGAGGGGCCTGAAACAGTCAAACGGTTAAAAACCCGCTCACCGATTTTCGTCCGAGACGCGTCCAATGTGCCCTCAGCCAGCCTCACATGTGCCGCCCGTCCCATTGTTTACCAGCCAGCCTCCGCGGTAACATCCAAGCATACACTCGGAATATTTCGTATTATTACAGTATTTTCGGTGCTGTTTCTGGAAAATAAGTGACCATGGGCCCCAAGAAAGCTTCTAGTGCCAACCCTACACCTCAAAGGGTAAGAATTACTATAGAAATGAAGAAAGAGATAATTGATAAGTATGAAAGTGGAGTGCGTATAGCCGACCTAGTCAAGCTGTACAAGAAACCCCAATCAACCATCGCTACTATTGTGGGCACCAGAAAGACAATCAAGGAAGTGTTCTTGCCAAAGGTTCAACTGTGTTTTCGAAACAAAGATCGCAAGTGATGGAAGATGTTGAGAGACTCTTATTGGTGTGGATAAATGAAAAACAGCTAGCAGGAGATAGCATCTCTCAAGCGATCATATGTGAAAAGGCTAGGAAGTTGCATGAGGATTTAATTAAAAAAATGCCTGCAACTAGTGATGATGTGAGTGAATTTAAGGCCAGCAAAGGTTGGTTTGAGAGATTTAAGAAGCGTAGTGGCATCCATAGTGTGTAAAGGCATGGTGAGGCTGCCAGTTCGGACCACAAAGCGGCTGAAAATATGTGCAGGAATTCAAGGAGTACATAGAAAACTGAAGGACTGAAACCTGAACAAGTGTTTAATTGTGATGAAACAGGCCTGTTCTGGAAGAAAATGCCAAGCAGGACCTACATTACTCAGGAGGAAAAGGCACTCCCAGGACATAAGCCTATGAAAGACAGGCTTACTTTGTTGATGTGTGCCAATGCTACTGGTGATTGCAAAGTGAAGCTTTTATTAGTGTATCACCTGAAACTCCCAGAGCGTTCAGGCAAAAGAATGTCCTCAAGGATAATTTGTGTGTGCTGTGGAGGGCAAACAGTAAGGCCATGGGTCACTAGGGAATTTTTCTATAACTGGTTTACACCATGCATTTGCCCCCAATGTGAAAAATTACCTACTGAAAAAGAAATTAGAACTTAAGTGCCTCCTGGTGTTAGACAATGCCCCTGGTCATCCTACAGACGTGGCAGAGCGACTTTATGGGGACATGAGCTTCATTAAGGTGAAGTTTTTGCCTCCTAATACCACTCCTCTCCTGCAGCCCATGGACCAGCAGGTTATTTCCAACTTCAAGAAACTGTACACAAAAGCTCTGTTTGAAAGGTGCTTTGTAATGACCTCAGAAACTCAACTGACTCTAAGAGAGTTTTGGAGAGATCACTTTAATATCCTCAATTGTGTAAACCTTATAGGTAAGGCTTGGGAGGAAGTGACTAAGAGGACCTTGAACTCTGCTTGGAAGAAACTGTGGCCAGAATGTGTAGACAAAAGGGATTTTGAAGGGTTTGAGGCTAACCCTGAGAATCCTGTGCCAGTTGAGGAATCCATTGTGGCATTGGGAAAGTCCTTGGGGTTGGAGGTTAGTGGGGAGGATGTGGAAGAGTTGGTGGAGGAGGACAATGAAGAACTAACCACTGATGAGCTGATAGATCAACTTCAAGAGCAAGAGGCCAGACCTGGGGAAACTGGTTCAGAGGAGGGGAGAGAGAAATTGAAGAAGTTGCCTACTCAAAGATAAAGGAAATCTGTGCAAAGTGGCTTGAAGTGCAAACCTTCATGGATGAAAATCACCCTCACACAGCTATTGCAAGCCGTGTTGGCAACCTGTACACTGACAATGTTGTGAAACACTTTAGGCAAGTCATAAAGGAACGAGAGAGGTACAGGCCACTATGGACAGATATCTTGTGCGAAAGAAGTCCAGTGACTCTGAAGCTGGCCCTAGTGGC